CGGGAGCGCCTCCGCACTTCCCAAGCGGCGCACTAGCACAGTGCGCCACCGGGCCGGCCCGACAGCCCATTTTATAATAACTATATTGGTTAAAAAAAAAAAGTCTGATACCAAGAGCTGGCAAGGATGCAGAGCAGCTGAAACTGTCGCACACTGCTACACTGCTGGTGGGATAACTGCTTTGGAAAATACTTTCGTATCATCTTGTAAAACTGAACATTCATGTAACCTAGGGTCTCAGCAGTTCTACTCGTAGGGTCATGCTCTTGAGAAACTCTTCAGATAATGCTCCCGGATCCAAGCACAAGAATATTAACAACAGCATTGTTCCTCACACAAAAACTGGAAATAAGCCCAATGCCTGTTGATAGGGGAACGAATAAACTATAGTCTATTCACACAGCTGAATATTATACAGTAGTGAAAGTGAATAGACCCGTTATGTACAATAACATTGATGAACCTTAGAAACTGGTTTTGAATGAAAAAAGCAGTTTTGAAAACATAACATATATTATCGTACTGTTTTTATAAAGCTCAAATCAAGCAAGACTAAATACATTTGGGGAGATATACATATTTTGTTAAACTATTTTAAAAATAAAAGAATAATACACATACTTGTGCAGAAAGGATAGTGTTTACCTTTTGGGAAGGGGCAGGGGAATTAGAAAAGGAACACACAAAATAGACAGCATCGTCCTAGTTTTTAAGTTTAATGGTGGGTTTTTTAGTATTCATTTTATCTTTCTCCTTTATAGCTAGCATGTGTGGGTGTGAATATACAAGGGTACTCTGAAAAGTTCATGGAAAGATTTATATTACCTTTTAATTCTATTTTTCCACAAACTTTTAAAAGTACTCTTACATATATGGTATATATTTTTCTATATATCAAATAGTGTTCTTTAAATTTATACAGTAACAGTGCGGCTGCTAGGCAGAGCCACGCCACTGTTCATTATACACTGTGGCATTAGAAACTGGATGTGTGTAGAATATACACCAGCCTGCCCAGATATACTGTCATAATCACATGTAAAAACAAGTGAAAGGAACTCTGTGTTTCCCTCCCTTTCTTTGTGATTGACATTTTTTCTTCTCTCCCACAGCATATCATCTACTCTGTGAAATTTTTCATTTCATATGCAATTCCAGACGTGTCGAAACGCACGAAGAGCAAGATCAAGAGAGAAAAGTACCTAACCCAAAAGCTTCTTCGGGAGAGTCACCTCAACGATATGACAAAAAATATGGGAGTTATAGCTGAGAGGATGACTGAAGTCGTAGATAACAATACACGACCAAAATTAGAATAAGAGTTTTATGTTCTGAGAAGCACTTTAAAGAATTTAGCTCTGTCAAAATATATTATGAATCACTAATGGGAATGTTTAAGTTAAATCACTTCAGCAAATGAGTCTTAACTATTGCCATTTTCGTATATATTATTTTTCAGTTTCAGCTAGTGATGCAGGAACTGGAAAATGTAAAACTTAGATCAAGAAAGGCATAAAACTGATCACCTGAAAAACCTAAAATGTTACTTTTTGATAAATTGGAATTTTAGTAACACAGAAGAAGTCTCTTAGTGTGCTTTAAAAACCACTTCTTCTAAAGCAGGATGGATGCTTTTTTTTCCCGTTTGATTATTTTCATTTCTTTCTATTCTCAGGCATATGATCTTCTTTATTTTAAGGTAGTGTTTCATTTCTTCACTTTGCCAGATCTGTTCCAGAGTTATCTTTTCCTCACAGTACCATCATTAAAGACTAGACATGCTACCACTTTAATAGCTTTTGCATGACTAAAAATAGCTAACTTGGAATTCAGTTTGAATACTGTATTAAGTAGCAAATAGACTCAAAAATTCACAATATTTAGGTGTATTATCTTATCCTTCCAGAAAGGAAACCTCAGTTAATCAAAGGAAATAGCTGCAGTCTTCATTTTTGGCCTGTCTTTCCATCTCAAAGAAATATCTCTTAGTGGATTAAAATGAAGATAACAAGGTTTTGAAGCATATTTGTTGTAATCCACAGTGACACCTTTATCTTCCAGGAGCACTCCCAGAATGTCCTGTGCCTAATCAATGTTGACTGCTTTGCAAATCTCAAGAGAATAAGATGACAAAAGAAGGGAAAGTTACAGATTCAAGTAGAATCGTAACTCATATTGATCTGGATAATTAATTTACCTCTTCTAAAGATTTGTAGTTTCTTGGGAAAAAATGATATCACATGATTAAAATTACATTTTTATCAATGTAATAGTCCATAAAAGATATGCCCAGTTGATTTATTCACTAGATACAAGAGGTACTATATTACATATCACCAAGCGCCTTCGTGACTGGCTCACTACCTAGCCTTTGTGGCATGACGGTGCTGTGCATGGTCAGAGAAGCAGCAAGTGCCCTAATTGTGAGCCACACTAATCATGGGCCTTGCGTGGGGACTGGCTTTCACCAGGGAGCCTGCATGACTTGGCTTTATTTCTGTGTGCCAAAGTGATCAACATACCAAGGCATCTGCCACGGCGAATGTGGCTTCTGTACACCTCCGCCCTCTTATTCTGCTCCAAGTACCTTGTTTGTAATTGGGTGTTTACACAGAGACAAGCATATACCCAGAGTATTCCTAATCGAGAAAAGAGTCGATTTGATTTGAGCTGCCAGCCTTCTCTTGGGCCATTCAGGCAGTTCGTAGTAAAAAAGGGAAATGGTTTGGTCACATCTGGAGGTTACTTCCTGCTGAACTCCTGCACCGCCATGCCGTTCTTGCCCTCAGTTTTGCTACTAGCTTTACAAGCCGCCTACTGTGCTTGACTGCCTTTTAAGTGCCAGGCCCCTGGCAGCTCTGGAGAAGACACTGGCCCTGCCCCTCTCACCCTTGACTGGTAACAGTCAGTGCTGGGTTGTAGGAGCGGGAGGTGATTTGTATCACATTCGTGTCGGACAGGCCTTCACCCACTGGGATGCTGTTAAATGCTCAGGTGCCAGAGGAGACAACCTGTCGGAATCCCAGTAGCAAACATGTTTCAGTAGTCAGATTTTAGACTTGTTATAATAAAACAGCTTAACTCCAGATCACAATTTTTAAATGCCTGCCATGAATTTTTTTTTTTTTAACAGTATTTATATAGGATTCATCAAAGCAGTATTCTAGGCTTTTGAATTGTCCCAATGAATCAGGGACAACATTTCGCTATCTTTCTTGATAATGTTAGTGATGTGGTCAGAGAGTGCTCAAGACAGGCGACATAAGGTCTAACTGCACCGGGACAGAGAAATGAATTTCTACCACTGTGTCTCATTCTGCATAGCCTAGATGGGAGTGCCACTGTTCCTCTCCCCACACCCCTGTGACACTGCTCCTGGAAGTGAGTGTCACTTCCTCTCATATTACCTCTTCTCTTCTCTGAAGTGTGACTATCTCCTAGTGTTTGATTCAGCAGTTACTCACTGTTTATGTCAGCAGAGAGAAGGAAATGTTTTTACTTTATCTCCTTAGATATATGGTAAAACTTTAAAAGAAATGTGCATTTATGTTTTCGTAGCCCCAGCTGAGAGAATCATCTTCATAGCTTAAAATGTGCTGCTGTGGACAGGAGGGGGAAAGCCTCTACATTTTTAAGGCAACAAATGCGATGTACGACACTGTCAAGATGTCCAAAATAGCTAAGTTTTAGTGGAGACCCAGGGTCACCCATGACATTAACAGCATTAATGTGAGTCCAGTGCTGACTTGGTGATGAAGGAACACCTGGGCTGTGTGTGCAGACCACGGCGGCTGCGTCTGCAAGTGGGAGTGCAGGCAGCTCCCCGGGACAATCGATGGGCGGTGGACCTAGGAAGGGGAAACCTGGCCCACGACCGACCTATCCTGTGTTAACCACTAGAGAAATTTCAGTTTTATATCCTTTTGTAATGTCTGTGAATTTTAATGGATTGAAGCATTAGCCCAAATACTCAGGGCATTTTTCTTTAAACATCCTCTCAGATATTTTAGATAGGTTATTAGAAAGGGAAAGCTATCATTTCTGTTTTAAAACTAAACAAGGCCATCTTGCAAACTGTTTTTTCCCAAAGTCTCCCCTTTTGATTGAACATGCATCTTGAATTTCATAAAACATTAATTCACAGTAGGGGTCAGAATATGCTCTGTTGTCAAAACACTTCTTGTACCATTTCCTTGTGTTCATATCATAAGATGTTTGAGAAGTTAGAATGTATGAGCAGCTTAACTAAAGTAAAACTGAAATATTCATGATGCTTTTCATACACTATGGCATAAGATGTAAAGTTTGTAATTAATGTTTGTTAATTTCTGTGCATTTTAATATTTTATAATTATGAACATTTTAATAAATTCATTTTTACAAACGATACTGTGTTCTGTTCTGTATTTGTCTTAATGTTTTTATGGAAGAGAATAAATATGTATCTGCTATTTAGTAGTGAAAAATTATGTATCATTTAGATAACAAATGTACACTTTTGTGTAGATTATATCTAGAATTCTATTTTTCACAGCCTATACTTAGTTTGGAACATGGGTTTTCTGGGAAACACTGAAGATGGGGTTTCAGCCAGGCTGCTGCATACAGATGTTGGGATTGAGCCCTGCACAAGGTGCCAAGCATAGAGAGCCAGGTGGAGCTGAAGACCCGCCACCTCTGCTCACCATGCCAGGTGCTCTTGTGTGGGCAGTGGCCAGGAGGAAGGGGTGCTCTTCTCTAATTGCATGAAAATGCCCTCCACTTGCTAAACCAGGATTGCAGGGGACAATGATAGGCTCTGTACGGACCCACAGCGGCCTGGGTGCAGAAAGGGGAAATTATGGAGAACATAAAGGATAATCTCATCACAAAAATTAATGTCTTCTTTATCCTGAGCAACATACAATCTGGATTTTAACTCATCCCACCCTTTAACTTTCTTGACCAGATTAAATCTCAGTAGATTTACAATAAAACTGTAAGTCAAACATATTCCATGAGTTTTAATGGATTGAAGCATTAGCCCAAATACTCAGGGCATTTTTCTTTAAACATCCTCTCAGATATTTTAGATAGGTTATTAGAAAGGGAAAGCTATCATTTCTGTTTTAAAACTAAACAAGGCCATCTTGCAAACTGTTTTTTCCCAAAGTCTCCCCTTTTGATTGAACATGCATCTTGAATTTCATAAAACATTAATTCACAGTAGGGGTCAGAATATGCTCTGTTGTCAAAACACTTCTTGTACCATTTCCTTGTGTTCATATCATAAGATGTTTGAGAAGTTAGAATGTATGAGCAGCTTAACTAAAGTAAAACTGAAATATTCATGATGCTTTTCATACACTATGGCATAAGATGTAAAGTTTGTAATTAATGTTTGTTAATTTCTGTGCATTTTAATATTTTATAATTATGAACATTTTAATAAATTCATTTTTACAAACGATACTGTGTTCTGTTCTGTATTTGTCTTAATGTTTTTATGGAAGAGAATAAATATGTATCTGCTATTTAGTAGTGAAAAATTATGTATCATTTAGATAACAAATGTACACTTTTGTGTAGATTATATCTAGAATTCTATTTTTCACAGCCTATACTTAGTTTGGAACATGGGTTTTCTGGGAAACACTGAAGATGGGGTTTCAGCCAGGCTGCTGCATACAGATGTTGGGATTGAGCCCTGCACAAGGTGCCAAGCATAGAGAGCCGGGTGGAGCTGAAGACCCGCCACCTCTGCTCACCATGCCAGGTGCTCTTGTATGGGCAGTGGCCAGGAGGAAGGGGTGCTCTTCTCTAATTGCATGAAAATGCCCTCCACTTGCTAAACCAGGATTGCAGGGGACAATGATATACAGAAAGGCTCTGTACGGACCCACAGCGGCCTGGGTGCAGAAAGGGGAAATTATGGAGAACATAAAGGATAATCTCATCACAAAAATTAATGTCTTCTTTATCCTGAGCAACATACAATCTGGATTTTAACTCATCCCACCCTTTAACTTTCTTGACCAGCTTAAATCTCAGTAGATTTACAATAAAACTGTAAGTCAAACATATTCCATAACTAGGACCACAGGAAGAAGTCTTGTCTGATTACTAAATGCTTTGGGGACCAGTACTAAGAATGTTCTTCCTCCCTCCCAGCATTATAAGCTCAGCAAAGGGGCAATTAGAAGTTCATTTCTAAAGCAAAGTGTTCCCTTCTCATCTGGGGGGAATGATGGGATCTTGAATAATTGATGTTTATCTGACACCCACCAGGCGCCAGGCCAGATGTTTTCTTTTACATTATCTCACTGACAACATGACGTTACTAAGAATTTTCAAGTATCTATTTAAAAAAAAAAAGTCATAAGCATGTGATTATAAAAGAAATGCAATTATGTTGTAAAAAAAAAATCCCAAGCTGTACAAAAAAGCCCTGCAGGGAAACCCCAGGCCAAGCCCTTTCCCCAGAGGTCCCAGTAAATGTGAGTTGGGGCCACTGAGGACAGACTGTGCCCCCAAAAACCTTTAGAGATTAGCTTTTGATTTGTAAAAATTTTATTCAGTGTATTAAAATTGCAGGTCAGAAAAGCTAGTTATTTCCTTACAATTTTAAGTTCAGCCCAAATCCTAGCAAATTTTACTAATCACTCTACAAGGGACTTTAGAATAACGTATGTTTCCACTTGCAAATGTAATGAAATGTGTTAAAATATCTGCAATAGCATTTAGAAATGGAGTGTATTCCATTTCTTTGAAATAGTCCACTTATATGACCAGTAGTGACCCAGAAGATATAATCAGGGGAACTATAAACTCTATTCTCTTGCTACCGTCTCTCTCAAGGACACCTTCCACAAAACCATTTAGACCATGTTCCCCCTTATGACCTGTCATTACTGAAAGGCTAGATATACAAACAGACAATGGCCAGACCACATATAAAAATGAAACTTTGACCCACAACCTGCCCAGGAAACCAACCCCTTATCTACAATAATCAGCCAGGAAGCCAGCCTGCTATAAGTCAGACTTGTAGGGAGTCAGACTGCTATCTCAAGTGGCAATCCAGGAAGCTGAACAGTAGCTTCTGTAACAACTGGCCCAATATGACCAGGACTTGATTAATAACTGACACCTTTCCTAATTTTTGTCCCTGCTTGCAACTTAGGGCCAACAGAGAGAGCCAAATACACACCCTAACCAATGACATAGGATGCCTGCTTCTAGGTAACTTGTCTATAGCTTCCCCGTGTCAACAGCCTCCAATTGGCACATCTGAAACCTTGCCTGTTCCCACCCTCTGCCTGCCTTTGACTCTCCACCAAAACACCGGTGACAGTGGCTTGCAAGCTCTGAATAAATAGCTTTTGCTTGTTCTCACTTTGGTGGTCTTAGTTTTTTACAAGGGGGGCATGTGTTTGCTGGGCATGTAGGATGAATATTAGGAAATGTTACTTTGGCTAACTCCTGCCCTTGAATCGTACTGGGCTTGGTAATTATGGCAGATGTATCTTCTGGAAATGTAGATTGGGCCACCAGGAATGAAGCTGTGAACTTACCAGAGGCATTTTGCCTTTAGTAGGCAATGGGGAACCTATAAAGGACTTCAGAAGGGAACACTGGAAACAAGAATTTGATCTTTGTCCCTGGTGAGGACTCATCTGCCCTCTATTCTAAGCTCTCTCCTGAAGTACTCTTTGAGCCCGAGCACCTTCAGATTCGAGGAGTTTGATAGCAGTTCTCACAAGTTGGAGGGTGGAGGTCTTACCTCACCTAGAGCCTTCAGATTCCATGGAGCATTCAAGCAGAAATTGGATGGAAAACAATCCTCGGAAAACTGGCCATGGCAATTTTATTTTATTTGGCGAGATGTTTTACTTTGGTAATGAAATAGGAGATTTTGCAAATGCTACTAACAGCATTTCCATTTCCCACCAGAAAACAGAGGAAAAGTAAATAGTCCTTTAAACCCTTTGCCTCATTTTCTAAAATAGTAAAGCACAAGCGATCTTTTGTGATGCTTGAATGATTTTGTTTTTGTCACTTAACTTACTGGAAGACACTCCCAAGATCTTCTGGCCCTTCATTTCTCCTTCACTCATTTGGGCGCTTTGCCATGATCATACCTAGTTCTTGTAATTAGAGCCATTTCACACAAGAACTCACGAAGTAGACTATGATGCCTAATATTGCTCAGGGTGGATACGCACATTTATATTACAAAATACCCTGCCATTACTTTCTCTCCTGTCAATGTCACTTGAGGTGAGTCAGAGTGATGAATCTTTGTCACCTATGGGGAAACCACAGATGAGTCGCCTGCTCTGTGGTACAGAACTAGCTACAAGCACTGACCACATCAAAATTCTAGGGCTGACCTCACCACTGGGCTTTTTGTCCACTACTTGTTTTTAAAAGTCAACAAATCAATTTTTACCTTCAAATATTTTTGTTCATTTGGGACAATCAGTATTTACTATTCTGGGGCTCTAGCTTCAAGGTCAAAATCTTACATTAACAATTTTTCCAGGACTGGATAAAAGAGAAAAGAAGGAAGCAGTCCAGAGAGTCCAGGGAAAAAAATCAGGCAAAGGGGAAAATTATCTCAGGAGACTCCAACAATTAGCAGAAGTCTCCATGTCCCTTATTACTGCTATGCAGGAAGCCTCTGGATATAACTAAGAAAAAAAAAAATACTTGATTTTGGTTGCTCCCAAAGTTACTTAAAAGCAAACACATGTAAGGAGCAGATCCCAGGAAACTGTTTAAATCCCCCTTTTCATTGGTGCTGGTGGTGGCGCAAATCCAACCCCAGGAGCTCTCACTGGGGCCCAGAGAGAACTATCACATTAATGCTCCCCCTTCATTAACAGTGAGGCGGGTTAATGAGTTCTTGGGACTCCTGTAATTTCCCTCGCACTTCATTCCCTTCCTTGTTGCAATCTAGGAGACCGAACTGCATGCCTAGGATAAAACTTTTCCCAGACAATTTTCTCCTACATCACTTTTTGAACTTCTATTTCTCATTCAGTGTGAACTGTAATTCCTAGTATGTGATTGTGGCAATCCACATTATAAGGATAAATCACTTCATTCCCTTCCTTGTTGCAATCTAGGAGACCGAACTCCAAGCCTAGGATAAAACTTTTCCCAGACAATATTCTCCTACATCACTTTTTGAACATCTATTTCTCATTCAGTGTGAACTGTAATTCCTAGTATGTGATTGTGGCAATCCACATTATAAAGGGAATCAGTCCCTTGATTAATAACTGACACCTTTCAAAGGGAATCAGTCCCTTGATTAATAACTGACACCTTTCCAAATTTGTGACCCTGCTTGCAACTTAGGACCAACCAGAGAAAGCCAAATATGCACCCTAACCAATCACATAGGATCCCCCACTTCTACAACTTCCCTGTGCCAACAGCCTCCAATCAGGGCACATCTGAAGCCTTGCCTGTTTCCACTAAAGCTTTCCCACTCCTCTGCCTGCCTTTGAGTCTCTGCCAAAACACCAGTGACAGTGGCTGCCTCCCTTGCTATAGCAAGCTCTGAATAACCAGACTTTGCTTGTTCTCATTTGGGTTGTCTTTATTTCCACTAGTTTTCTAATAAGAATGAGCTAAATAGTTCCCACTACTCAGTGCCATAATGAAGTCGCCAACATCTATGCCTCTCACACTGGATTCAGTGTGCCAAGGAGTATAAGCAACCACAGGATGAACATGAAGTGTCTTCTTGGAGATGAGTGTTTGAATGATCATGGGAGAATGGTCATAATAAAATAAACACAGATACAGTTTGGAACTGAATACAAAATTTGAATTTTTTTTGCAGCTGGCCAGTATGGTGAATGAATTAATATAAAATAATAGCCTTCAAAGAAATTCCATGCTTATGTTGAGCTGCTTCATCTAGGCCCTTGGCTTATAACTTTGCCTTCCTCTGCTTGTTTGCTGCTTCAATAATATCCATTTTATTCTTTGTTATTTCTTTCTTCCTTCTACTTTCTTTGGGCCAACTCTGTGTTCTCCTTTATCTAATTTCTTAAGTTATATTTATTGAACAATTCATTCAACAAATATTTGTGGGTCTATCATGTAGTGGTCATTGTTTGATGTGCTTCAGATAAAGTAGCGTTGCTTGGCTCATTCATTTTCTAATACTGGCATTTATTTTACGTCCGTAAATTTACCTCCAAATCTCATTTAAGCTGTATCCCACCGGTTTTTATACTTAAGAGTTTTTTGCTGCTGCTGTTAATAAATTGTAAGATATTTAACTCTTTTTTTTTTTAACCCAAAATGCCTTTATGCCACTGTAATTCTTAAAAGGTAGTTTCACTAAGTTTAATTCCTTTTTTTTAACCCAAGGGTTATTTTGTTGCATGATTTGAAATTTGTAAGATTTTCTTTACATTATCAAGTCTGACCTTAAATGCATTATAGTAA